AAATACAGAAAATCTAAATAATTATTAAAAGATGAAAAAATTCATCGAATACAATCAAAACTCACATTCGAGAACCTGTTGAGTTTATATACGCCATAGCTTTCAGTCGATTGAAAGTGTTGTTCTGAAATCAAGAGAAATTTTAAATAAATTTCTATATGAAAATTGAGTAATGAAGAGAAGGCAGTTCGATAGTTTCTAATTGTAAACAAAATCCTAGCTTACCACTGTCAACATACTAATCCGAACTGTGCACAAAGGAACCTTTCACTATAAAAAAAATAGATCGACGATGTTCAAGAAAAGTCAGTAAACAGTTACAAGTTAAGATTCGCTGGTCACCTAAATATATGATGGAAAAGTTAGTTGAGTGGCACCTGATTTGTTTTCAAATAAACAGAATTTGTCGAAAACAATCAGTGTATGTTATTAGTGTAGTAGTTCAACAGCATAGTGGGTATTTGTATTGTCATTATCTCACATCTACATCCTCAATAATAGGAAAAATGTGGAAACCGATTTTCTTGAAAGCCAAGATACACATTGTACGGAATCTTATTTAACACTCAGTCAGGCTCAATACTATTAAGAGCAGGGACACTACTTTTGTTGAGTATTCATTTAATTAGGTGATAGAATCTGAGTTAATACTGAATGAAGCTTTATACTAGATGGAAGGGTCAGGCAAGTTTCGTTAAAGAACTAGTCCCAAAGGATAAAAAAGCTGACAGAATACTTAATCAAAATCAGCAGACGAAGTATTATTTTAGCCTAGAGTGCTGTATAATATCCTACGAGCCAAACAGAGGCAGAGTAATAATCAGTTGTGGATACTATGTGGTATGTTTTGGGTTTCTTCTATAGGCTCTGTCTCTGAGTTTGTATGATAGGGTAAGAATGAAGTATGAAATCTAAAAGTGGTGGTTCGATTTTAATAGACTTAAAATATAATAGATACTGTCATTAGATAAATCTGTTGATTCAGACAAATCTCAATAGCTATTCATATAATTATAGTACTGATAGATAGAGCAACAATTCTCGATATAAACGATATCGTTTGTGTGGTATAAACTGAATAGAAATAGTATAGAAGTATTTACCTTGAAAAAATATTCAACGACGATAGAAATCGAAGAAGAATAATTGAATATATGTGTTGGAAATATAAATGAAAAAAATAAGTAAATGAATATTGTAAAGAGCATAGGCTTTTATATTTTTTTTTATGTACGATTTATTCATGCATAAAATATCCTTTGTAATGCGATGATTGTATGATTTACGTCATGGAAAAAAACAAGCAAGCAACAAAATAGAAGCGATAGTGCATATCTTTGTTTTTTCTCTTTTGTATGTAACGCATATTGCTTATATCCTCTATAGTTAGGTAATTGAAATATGAGTAATTGATTTGTTTTTTTAAATTAATGAAATAGACGGCGACGATTGTATCTCGAGGGTGATTGTATTTGAACGATGATTGTTTACTATCTTTTGAGCAACTATCATATATTGCCATTATAAAAATTCTAAATATGATTATTTTCTGACAGATAAAAGCGAACATTTTCCAACTATTTTAATATAAATAGAAAGCAATAGTTGTCTCATATAATACTTTAGCGACTTATGATCTACAGATTTAAAAATTATTTCAGATAAGGTATAAATTGAGTTGATCGAACTTTTATGTTGGTTTAGTACTATATCGGATGAGCTGTTTGTTAAATGTTAAAATTTAAAAAATATCTGAGCGGGATTCTGTTTTTGTGAAACAGTCGAAGCCGACTGTTTCCTTAACGTCGTTTTCGATTCGAGCATACAGTCAAAGTAGAATTGTAGTTGACCGAAATCAACTTGAATAAAAAATAAAAGTTCATTGATAGTGTACAATCATTTAACTTTTTCAGTATTTTATCAGTGTAGAAATGGATATTTTTGTTTTGATTCAACATATACATCGATACATTTATTTCACATCATGTGATGTATTTACGTTTGCAAAATTATGTATATTATTCATGTAATATAATTACAGTGCGCAAACAGTGATAAAAATCATACAAAAAAGAATATAAAACTAATGAAGCATGAATGGAAGCGAACAAAACAAAACAAAACAAAACATAAAAAAATATTTTTAATGACCACCTTTGCTGCACATTCTACTATCCGTTTGAAAAAAAAGAATGCTCGTAATTGATTATTTTAGAATTTCTCAATAGGATATTTTTGTATATACTAACTATAATTCTTGTCTTATATAACCATTAATAATAATGATAATAAATATTAATTCAAAGATTTCAAAATAATTCTACAATTATATTTATTATTATCACTATCATATCTATTTTTATTAATAAAAATATCTTATATACCCAAAAGTAAAAAGATTTTTATTGATTGAATTTATTCGAATATTTAATGGTAAAATAAATAGAAATTAAGTTAGTGAAATTATTAATTCAAAAAAATCTAAGAGAAATATTTTCAATAATGTTTATTGCTGTACTCATAATTTTGTCTTATTGAATATAATCTAGAAGAAACTATTGTAAAATAATTGCTTAAATGAACAGTAAAAAATTAATTGTTACACGTGTTTTTATATAACAATAATATAAATATTGTTTTGTACAAACTATTAGATAATTTTAAAATGATTTTGTCAATAATAATACATCTATAGATATGCAAGTGTCATCACTAATTATCTATTTTGTTTTTCTAACATATATATGAAATTACGTATGAATCCAACTATATTTAATTTTATAAAGAACTTCAGTCATCATATATTGATAGAAGTGAAGTATTTTAATGCAGTAGATAAATGAAGAAAAAGTGCGAAAATATTAAGACAACATTTTATTTTACACTGTACGTTCACAAGATTCATTAATTAAATCTAATATTATAAAAAATATCAAAAATTAAATCTAAATTATTCATTCGTTTTTTATTATTCTCTTATCATAAAAAAATTATATCTATACTTCACATATACATGATATCATCAGAGGCACATGATAATTATTATTATCTACACTATATTTTCGTCACAAAATGTGAACATCAAGTGTAATTTTTTTGAATTAAATAAATAAAGAAAAGAATATTAAGTTAAAATATCTGATTTACTAGAAAAATGTTAATCATTATTGTTAACAATATGATTGTTCGAGATAGTGAAAAGTTTAAAAAATATATCATAGTTGAATCTATGAGACAAATAACATAGTTTTTATTGATTATGAAACAATGATTTGAATGAAAGATAATATATTATATTCATTAATATAATCTTCGACAATGAGTTTTATATTCAAAAATATTAACACTAGCTCAGTTAGTATAGTTGATGTGAGAGTTGATAGAAAAAATAACATCCTTGGATATTTATATGAATATGAATACCACAGAGCAGTAGTGTGTGTAATGAAGTAAACATCATATGTTAAAACTAGTGGCAATGCTACATCTTCAGTTTATGAGTGTGTGTAATGATAAAAAAGAACAGATTTTCAGTCGCATCCACACCCACACACCTTGATCAATGAATATGTATATTGTACTATTTACACGGAATCTACAAGATTCAACCTGATCATAACTTAAAAAAAGAAATATTTATTATCTGCCTGCCCTCTATCGTCATTTTATTCTTATTCGTGATTTCATCTGTCAAATACGATTTATTTATTGCTTCTTTTGCTTTCAATTTAGTCAAGTCAAATGATCCATAATTTTAAAGGAGTAATAAAAGAAATTTAATTTTGTATTTATTTTTATTATTAAGACAATGGCAGAAACATTATCGTCTCATTGGTTTCGTGTTATTTTACCAATTTGTTTTATTTGTTTTCTTTATTTATGTTCATTTTATTTATTTCTATGTGCAACAAATTCTTTAATCTATTCAACTGTTTGTTTACTTCATGCTAATGAATCATTTTGTTCAGAAATTGATCGAAATAAATCTCTACGTGCTTCGCAAGAATCTATACAAAGAGAAAGTTCCCAATGGTCTCTTTATGGAACATTATCGTTTGCAATAGTTGCATGTTTTGTTTCACCTATTTATGGAAGTTTATCCGATACAAAAAATCGTAAATTACCCATTGTTTTAACGGTATCTAATGCAATAATAACTGGTTTAATAATTACAATTGGAAGTGCTTATCAAGGTACGAAAATATGTTTATTATTTTATATTTTGGCTAATATTGTTAATGGTTTTGGTGGAGGATCTTTGACTCTTATTTCGTAAGTTTATTTAATAAATAATAAAAACAAAACAAAAGAAAATAAATGTTTTTATTTAGTTCATGTTTTGGTTATGCAACTGACAGTTGTAATGATAAAGAAAAACATACTCAAATAATTGCAATTATTGA